ATGCCAGAATTGCTGCGAATTCTTACCTACTCCCCACATGGGAATAAACCCACGTGGCATTAGACCATTGCAGATGTGGCAGATGGATGTTACTCATATTCCCTCTTTTGGAAGGCTTCAATATGTTCATGTTTCTGTTGACACCTGTTCTGGCGTAATGTTTGCCACACCCCTAACAGGGGAAAAGGCCTCATATGTGATTCAACATTGCCTTGAGGCCTGGAGTGCTTGGGGAAAACCCAGAATTTTAAAAACAGACAATGGACCAGCATATACCTCTCAAAAATTCCGACAGTTTTGTCGGCAAATGGATGTTACCCATCTAACTGGCCTACCTTATAACCCTCAAGGACAGGGCATTGTGGAACGTGCCCATCGTACACTCAAATCATATCTGATTAAACAAAAGGGGAGTATTGAGGATGTTCTACCCTCGGTACCAAGAGTTGCTGTATCCATGGCACTTTTTACCCTTAATTTCTTGAACTGTGATGCCCAAGGCCACACTGCGGCTGATCGCCACAGTTTAGAGCCTGATAGGCCAAAAGAAATGGTAAAATGGAAAGATGTCTTGACTGATCTCTGGAAAGGCCCGGATCCTATTCTTATAAGATCCAGGGGAGCTGTGTATGTTTTTCCACAGGAGGAAGAAAACCCCCTGTGGATCCCTGAAAGACTCACTCGAAGAGCTCCTTCACAACTCCAGAATAAGAAGGATGGAGGCCAAGTGGGTGATGAAGACTCTCCTACTCGGGATGATGGTTCCTAGTATGATGGGAGAGTTACGGTGGGCCATCATGTCTACCTTCCCCCTACCGATGCCAGTGATGCAGAATGCCCAGGTGTTCCCTAGATTTTTCACAAATAATAGAGAGTTGGGGCTTGCCTTTTTGCCTTTAGATCCTCAGATACAGAGTTTTCAGGATGAGAGAACCTTGTCATTAGTAGGAAGCTTGTGCTTTACTGTGATTTCTTCATTAAAGGATAATTTTATTCATATGGATCCAGAAAGATCTAATGCTAATCCTTTTGAATTAATGGAAGCTGTACTGATCTTTCTCCTATGATAGTGAGAAGGGACAGATTGGAAAGGGGCATTAGGCAACAGTCTGAGTGAGGGACAGAGCTCTGGATCATCTGATTGGTCCTCCTCCAATGTTAAGTATACCCCTTTTAAGAGAACTAATTATTCAGCTGCCCTTTATTTGGGTTGTGAGTAATGATACCTTAGGTAAGAATCAGAAAGAAATAAATTGTTCTGCTTAGAATTGTTTTTATGCATTATGCTGGGATGCTATTAAGCACCCTTTTGCTTTGGTAATGCGCATGCCTCGATTTATTCCAGCTCCTGTTGAGGCGCCAAGTAATTTGAGTTTGTTTAGGGAAAAGCGAGATTTTTGGGATCTCTGCTATTATTGTGGGCCTGATAGCCACCGCCGCGGTTACTGCTTCGGTTACCGCCTCGGCCCTTGCACTTTCTGCCACTGTGCAGACAACTCAAACCATTAATGAACTATAGGCCACTGTGACCATGGTCCTAGATAAACAGGCCACTGCCAATTCTCAGATACAAGGAGGCCTGATGTTGGTAAACCAACAGATTAATTTGGTTCAGGAACAATTGGATATATTGTGGCAGATGGCCAAATTGGGATGTGAACAAAGTTGCCTGGCCTTTGTGTCACTTAGTACAATATGAGAATTTTACAAGAGCAGCTAACCTGTCAAAAGCTCTGTCTCAACATTTATTACAGAATTGGACTTTTGAGTTTGAGCAGACACTCCGTGAGTTGAGAATGGCGATCCTGCAAGTGAATTCGACGCATCTGGATCTTTCTCTGATGGAAGACCTCTCCCCTGGATTTCATCTGCATTTTCTTATTTTAAGGAATGGGTGGGGGTAGGATCATTTAGCCTAGTTCTCTGCTGTGGAATAGTGTTGATGCTTTGGATGGTGTGTACGCTCAGAGCCCAAACAAAAGGAGAAAGTGGTGGTGGCACAAGCACTTGCTGCCTTAGAACACGGAGCATCCCCTGACATTTGGTTAACCATGTTAAAGCAATAGGTCGCTGGCCTCCCAGCTCTTGCACCCCACGAGGCTAGTCTCATTGCACGGGATAGAGTGGGTAGGCTTCAGCAGCCCAAGGAGTTGCAAGGCTAAGCACTGCACAGGAGAGGTCTGCGGTATAACGACTTTCTCCTGGGAGATAAGTCATCTTGCATGAAGGTTCTATGTCATGATCTCCTTCCCCCAGAAAAAAGACATCGGACTGGTCAGGACTTCCTCTGGGGATAAGACCCTGGAGAGGAGCTTTGTACATGTTCCGAATTTGCACATGGGGATTTGACCTCTATCTCCACTCCAAAGTTGTGGGTGTCCTATTGCTTCAAAAATAAATGAATAGGGGGAGATGTGAGGAGCCGCCCTCGCTATCGCTATTGCCGTTAGAAGATGGCGCTGACATCCACTGTCAGTTGGAGTTAACTGTCGCTGTCAGTTGGAGTTAACTGTCGCTGTCAGTTGGAGTTAACTGTCGCTGTCAGTTGGAGTTAACTGTCGCTGTCAGTTGGAGTTAACTGTCGCTGTCAGTTGGAGTTAACTGTCGCTGTCAGTTGGAGTTAACCGTTTAAACTGTGCCTCTCCCGTGACGTCATCTGGGGTGATGTGCAAACCACCAATCCCGGCTCTACACATCTCACTCGGAGCTCCTAGGCTTATATAAGGGGCTGGGTTTCTTAGCTTGGGGTCTCCCTCTAAGAAGCTGATCATCTATCTCTCAAGATGCATTAAAGCTTTACTGCAGAAGGATCCGAGTGTTCTGCGTCGTTCTTGCTGGCGAGACGGTAGCGCGGGACATCTATCTATCTATCTATGTATCTATCTATCTATGTATCTATCTATCTATCCATCTATCTATCTATCTATCTATCTATGTATCTATGTATCTATCTATCCATCTATCTATCTATCTATCTATGTATCTATGTATCTATCTATCCATCTATCTATCTATCTATCTATGTATCTATGTATCCATCTATCTATCTATGTATCTATGTATCTATCTATCTATCTATCATCTATCTATTATCTATCTATCTAATGTGCATTGGTATTTTACCGTGTGTGTTGGGTCCTCTGGAACTGGAGCTATCTATCTATCTATCTATCTATCTATCTATCTATCTATCTATCTATCATCTATCTATTATCTATCTATCATCTATCTATCTATCTAATGTGCATTGGTATTTTACCGTGTGTGTTGGGTCCTCTGGAACTGGAGCTATCTATCTATCTATCTATCTATCTATCTATCTATCTATCTATCTATCATCTATCTATTATCTATCTATCATCTATCTATCTATCTAATGTGCATTGGTATTTTCCCGTGTGTGTTGGGTCCTCTGGAACTGGAGCTATCTATCTATCTATCTATCTATCTATCTATCTATCTATCTATCTATCTATCATCTATCTATTATCTATCTATCATCTATCTATCTATCTAATGTGCATTGGTATTTTACCGTGTGTGTTGGGTCCCCTGGAACTGGAGTTAGATGGTTGTGAGCTGCCATGTGGAAATTGAACCCAGGTTCTCTGGAAGAGCAGTCAGTGTCTTACAACTAATGAGCCATCTCTGCAGCCTCCTGTCTAGATCTTAGTTCAAACAAACGGTAAAAAAACAAAACAGGAAAACCTGAATGCTGCTTGATGCTTCCTATTAGCTGTCTTAGAGCGCCTTGTCTTTCATGGAAACTGACTAAGTCTACAATACAAAGGTATGAAGAGACAGTAATCGGACTCAAAGCAATCCATTGGTGGTGGCAGGTGGGGACATGGTTAAAACTGACCACAACTCTAAAGCAGGAGGACAGGGATACATGGCTTTGTCACACCAGTATTATTCTCTTTATTTCTGTGTATTTGTCAGAATTTCCATGATAAAATATTTTTTCAAAAAAAGAATCATTTTGATACTGTTATATCATAAAATATTACTTTCTTACAAAGACTTCAATGGAAGAAAAATAAAAATTTGGCTGTAACATTAACTAGTGAATTAAATCTTTTTACGTTAGACATCATCTTTAAAGACTAAGTTCTGCAGGTTTGTGGGATCAGAGTTAGAATTCCAAGACACGGGCAGGAAGTGTGGTAAAGCAGCAGCATTTCTGGGGGAGGCCAGGCTCCCTTCCGCCTCCGCTGTCCTGTTACTAGCTCACCACCTTCTCAGCAGGCCATTCCATTCCTATGGATAGGAGGAAATCATACCCATAATGCGAGGCAATAAAAATCCCTTCTCAGAGGCTGGGCGGTGGTGGCGCCCCTTTAATCCCAGCACTCGGGAGGCAGAGACAGGCGGATCTCTGTGAGTTTGAGGCCAGCCTGGTCTACAGAGTGAGTTTCAGGACAGGTTCCAAAGCTACAGAGAAACCCTGTCTGGAAAAACCAAACCAAACAAACAAAAATCCTTCTTAGTGAAGCAGATAGCACAGGTGCAACACGTGGGAGCGTTCAGATAGGGGTCAACTGATTCAAAGTACCCAATTCTGATCCCAATACACACTTGCCCATTTCTCTACCACCCTTGCAATAAAGATTTATCTCCTGATTGCTGGCATTAGCTCACAAAGTCTTTCCTTCTTGGTTACATGTAATAAAGTGATGGTATATTACTAAAAATTGACTGTAGCCGAGATTCAACACAGAACCAATCAAGGTACACAACTTTCCAACTTTTCAGATTATTCTGAAAGACTTATTTGCAACTTAAAATCTGAGTAAAACATATTTTTCTTTTTTTACAGAGTCTGCTGACAGATTCTCTTGTAGACCAGTTGCCCTAGAACTCAGTATGTAGGCAAGGGTCTCCGTGAACTCTGAAGGTCCTGCCCACACCTCCTAAATGCTGGGGTTGCAGGCACACACAGCCATGACCAGGTGTGAGCAAAGTACTTCCAACACATCATGAAGAAATTTTGAGGCTAATTCATTTTGTAAAAAATGTTTTATCAATTCTATTTTTGTATAAAACACAAGGGAGAAACTTGGCCAATCAACACATGACCATGACCACAGGGAAAGGGACTTTCGTGAGTCTAAAAACTTCGTGCGTCTAAAAACATACAAATGTTTCTTTTATCTTGTCTACAGCAATTGTCGATGCTTTTCCATTGAACTGTTCTTAAAAATTCCACTCAATGCTGCTGGTGTCCTCTGTCCCCGTTACAGACAGTGGGGGTGAGCAGGTTGGTTAAATCACTTCCTAAGCAGTTTTCTGTTGTCCCTTCTTTCCAATCAGAGATTTGTGGATGTGTGGGATCACACCTAGAATGAAATGCAAAAAAAATATTGTAATACATTTAAAAAATTTTAATAATACTCTGTATATCTTAATGCTTTAGTGCTAAACAGACAATTATAAAAAGGATGGAATTAACTTAAGTCCCTTTTCACATTTGGTTCTTGCTAAATCCACAGGAGCCCAAGAGCCTCGCCTAGGAATAGCAACTGTAGCTAACCACAGCCATCACAAGGTTCTGGAAGGATTCAGTAACTGACCCCAGACCTTTACAAATCCCCAATACAGAACCATTTTGGTCCTGCCAAGTCTATCGTATTATGCAGTTTTCCAGAATCATGTGATTTCTCCAGCATAGTTCAAATGTATGGTGAAATCTTTTAAACCTTAGGATGAAAGTGTGGGAATATTTAAAGAGTGAGTTAAGGTAAGAACAGCACTGCATGACAATAGAACAGGTGTCTACTCAGATCCCTATGAAAAGAGGCTGGTGGGTCCCGAGTTGTGACTCAGTTTTAGTTGTTTAACCACTTGTAGCATTTATGAGGACCTGGGTTCGCCCCTTCATCAACAACAGAGATATCGTACACTCAACACTTGTGGAGTTAAAGTCATATGGCTTCTAGTCAACCACTCAAATGCACAGGATCACTGATCTGAATGATTATTAATGAGAAAGAATTTGGGCTTAACAATACATACCGCCCCCGGCTATGGTAGCCTTGATAAGTGAATCCAACTCCTCATCACCTCGGATTGCAAGCTGCAAGTGACGTGGAGTGATACGCTTTACTTTGAGATCCTTGGAAGCATTACCTGCCAACTCCAGGACCTGTAAAGCAGCCATGAAATAACACAATTAAGGAAACGGTAGGTTTCCAAATGTAGAAAAACTTCTGTTCCTGTATGTAAGTTTTTTCTGTATCACTGTATGCTTGACACCCAGTACCTCCTACTGACTCCCCTCCTTGCACAAACACAGAGAAACATGCAACCCTCCACCCCAGACAAGTTTCTCTGTGTAGCCCTGGCTGTCCTGGAACTAGCTCTGTAGATCAGGCTGGGCTTGAACTCACAGAGATCCGCCTGCCTCTGCCTCCTGAGTGCTGGGAAAAAGGCGTGTGCCACCAACGACCAGTTTCGACAATGACTTTGTAAGCCCTTCTGTCTCCATCTCCAAGAGCAAGAATTACAGGTGTACACCACACTCCCAATTTATGTGACACTCAAGACTGAACTCAGGACTTCGGATTTGCTAGACAATCTACCAACTAGGCTGTATCCCTAGCCTTATTTCAAGAAACATCAAAGCTCTGCTCAGCCACAACGCACTGCTGCTTTGCTTTTAGACCAGCGTTTCTCCTGCCCCTGTCTCTGGAGTTCTGGGTTACAGGGCACCAGCTTGTGCAGCTAACCCTGCGCGTTATCTGTCTTTACCTGCAGCAGTTTTTCTGGCACTTCTTTGATAGAAGTAGCAAAAATAGCTACAGAGCAATCTCATTTAAGCAGAGCACTGAGTATATCATACATCTGAATCAAATGTTGGCAAGCTTCAAAACCTCCCAGTGCCTTACCTCAGGCCTCTCGCTGGTCTAGGGTGACCCCTGCATCAGTATGTTTGGAAAGCTCTCCAAGAGGTTCTAGTGAAAGTCAAGCCTGAAAAATGATCACCCCTGACATAAACTCTCAGCTTAGGGATCACAATTTTTTTTGTTTTTGTTTTTTTTTTTTGTTTTTCGAGACAGGGTTTCTCTGTAGCTTTGGAGGCTGTACTGGAACTCACTTTGTAGAGCAGGCTGGCCTCGAACTCACAGAGATCCGCCTGCCTCTGCCTCCCGAGTGCTGGGATTAAAGGCGTGCGCCACCAACGCCCGGCGCTAGGGATCACAATTTTACCTCTACTAAATAACAAAAAACAAAACTATATATATATATATATGAGACAGGATTTCTCTGTATAGCTCTGGGTATTCTGGAATTCAGGGTTAGGAGCCTGTAGTTCTGTAGACCAGGCTGGCCTCACACTCAGAGATCTACCTGCCTCTGAGTGCTGGGATTAAAGAAGTGAGTCACCACTGGCTGATCAGAATTCCAAATTTAAATACCTAGAATATGCTGACTTCTTTAAAAATGTATCTGTGTAGCACCTGTGTTTTTGTTGAACTGGTGGATAAAGACATAAAAGACAGGTGTAAAACTAAAACCAGAATTCATGGTTCATTTTGAGTTCTGACACGATACTTAAGACAGAGTGACAATGACATTGAACTAATAATGAGGCTGGGTCTAATAAAGGGGATGATAAATTAGAAGCATAAAAAACTAAACACGCCGGGCGGTGGTGGCGCACGCCTTTAATTCCAGCACTAGGGAGGCAGAGGCAGGCGGATCTCTGTGAGTTCGAGGCTGAGCTGGACCAAAAGCCTTCAAAACAATACAGAGAAACCCTGTCTCGTAAAAAAAAAAAAAAAAACAAAAAAGAAAAAAAAAACTAAACACACAGGGCCTCACACAAGCTTATGTACCTACCCTCTCACTGAGCTGTCTTTGGAGGAAGTCTAACTCCACCCTAAAAACTCTGGCCAGCTATGACTGAAACATGTAACCTCAGTCACTTGCAGGGCTAAGATAGGCCTACAAGTCTAATGCCATCGGGGGCCACCTACAAGACTGCCTCAAAGAAATAAAGGACGGGACAGAGAGGTGCCTCAGTGCCCAGGAGCACTGGCTACCCTGCCACAGGGCCCTGGTTCAATTCCCAGCTCCCACATGGCAGTTCACAACAGTTCTTAACTCCAGACACCCTCTTGTGGCTTCTGTGAGCACTGAAGGCAGGTGGTAAGCAGACACACAAGCAGGTAACACATCCAAACACATAAAATAACAAAGCAACACAAAGCCCCCAAAGGACTAGGGAAGTATAGATCAGTACAGAGTGGTTCCCTAACTCATAAGGTCTTGGGTTCAATCCCAAGTACCATAAAGAAGAGGTAACTGACGGATGCGAGCTATAATTCTATGTGCCACAGCTCTAGCACATAAAAATGTATATCTTCCTAGAGCCTGTAGTGAACTAAGAATCTGGGACAGAATCAAAGAAGAAAGTGTCTCAACTAAATCAAAATGCCCTCATGAAACTTTTGAGTCTTAACAGCACAGCTCAAGCTCCCCAGAATTCCGAGTTAAATCTTGGGCAGGACACTGGAATGATGGCACTGATGGCGAGCGCACACTGGAGGCTTCTGCTTTGCCTGGCTGCCTCTCAACTGACGTGCTCGCTAGCTAATCACCTGCTTGGTCTGGAACGTAGTGCCAGCATTTCATGCCTTCCTATGTATTTCCCCGGGGAGGGTTAGAGATGGGGAAGTGCTGATCCAGGACCCTCGTATTAAGAAGTCTTGCCAAAGCAATTTCTCTAAATGGAATGTGGGGCTCACTTGTAACCCTGAGGGAAGGACTGCTAATTCTTTTTTTTTTAAAGATTTATTTATTTATTACATATACAGTGTTCTGCCTACATGTCAGAAGAGGACACCATACAAGCACAGCCATATCATTCCTTTTTCTTTTTTCTTTTTGGGCTTTCAAGAAAGGGTTTCTTTGTGTAACAATCCTGGCTGTCCTGTAACTCACTTTGTAGACTAGGCTATCCTAGAACACAGAGATCTGCCTGCTTCTTCCTCCTGAGTGCTGGGATTAAAGTGTTTGGCACCACTGCCCCGCTAGTTTAGAAATCTTAATAAACTAAGAAGGCATGCTGTAACTTATGAATATTGCGTCCCTGCCACTGTTCTTTTGAGAAAGGGTTTCATTTACCCCTGGATGGCTTTGAATTCACTATGCAGCCAAGATGACTTGAGTTCCTGATCCTCCTGCCTCCACCTCTTAAATGCTGGGATTACACTTTCCCCAGTTTATGGGGTGCTGGGAAAAATCCCAGGTTTTCATGTATGCTGGGCAAGGAGCTTCAAACACTGCCAGATGACTAACATATATATCTCATTGTTCACTTACTCAGAACAGTATTTATCATGTCACTTAAAAATGTGGTTTGCTGGCCTTCACTTAAACGTAAACAAATAAAAACCAAGCACACCAGGACTCTTTAAAATTGACTGGGTGGTAACTTGGCAAGATGACCTAGTCTACACAGATTTTCAATCAGCCAGTCCTACCTGTCTCTACCAGGCCAACTCAAAAAAGAAAAACCTCCCTACACTAAGCAGAACACAGAGCAAGTTCCAGGCCAGCACGAGCTGCTGTCTTAGAAAAGCAAAGAAAAGAAAGCAGCAGCCAGTGTGCTGGTCTACTTCTGCAACCCCAGCACTTGGAGGTGGAGACAGGAAGGACCAGCACTAGGGAGGCAGAGGCAGGCGGATCTCTGTGAGTTCGAGGCCAGCCTGGTTTGCAGAGCTAGTCCCAGGACAGCTAGGGCTGTTACAAAGAGAAACCCTGTCTTGGGAGAAAAAAAACCCAAAGTTCAATAATCCTTTAGTATTCTTAGGGGGAAAAAAGGGCAGGAAAGATGGCTCAGTGGTTAAGAAAACCGACTGCTTTTCCAGAGGATCCAGGGTCTATTCTCGGCACCCACATGGCAGCTCACAACTGTCTATGGCTCCTGTTCCAGGGGATCCAAACCCTCACAGAAACATACATAAAATACAAATAAAACAATTAAAAAAACACTCTCCCCATGGCAGCAGTCTCAGCCATTGCAACCTCTCGTGTCCCCACAATGACACTGTCCACAAACCTCAGCCGTGAGGTACTCCAGAATTGCCGCACTGTACACAGCAGCGGTGGCACCCACCCGTCCATGGCTTGTGGTGCGAGTCTTCAAGTGTCTGTGGATTCGGCCCACAGGAAACTGAAAAAGAGATGTCTTGGGAAGCATTGCAGTTGCAACAATATATGCATGAGTGTAACTGAAGGCTTAATGATATTACAGGCCAAATTTACTTGGTAATTAACAGTCCTAGGGCCTCTATGTACGTGTTGCTAATCAGCCTCAAATCATGAACTTTTGCTCAACAGTTTCACTGAAAAATGAGAATTATACCATGTTGTTACCAATAATCACACTTGTATCTAATCAATTCTTTCACATAAGTCTCATGACTTTGAACCTTCACCATTCTCTTCTTATCCTAACTCTGTTCTTTCCTCAATTTCAAGAGGTCACCTGATAGTTAAGAAAAAACCAACCCCTTAGCTGTGTGTGATGGCACACACTTTTGATCTCAGCACTTGGGAGGCAGAGGCAGGAGGATCTGTGAGTTCAAGTTCAGCTTGGCCTACGGAACGAGTCAGCCAGGGATACACAAAGGAACCCTGTCTCAAAAAACAAAACAAACAAAAAACCCCAACAAAACAAAAACAACAAAAACCAACCCAACCAACCAACCCAAATCAATCCCACTCTTTCATTGTGATGCTTTCCTTTTGAGAGAGAACTTTCTCATTTCCAAAGTCTCCTAGTCCTACTTAATTGTACCATCTAATCTGGTTGTTTATGTATGCTTTAATTTTGGGTGCTGGTAATAAAACCCAAGGCCTTGCACATGCTAAGGACTCCAATACATAGCTACATCCCAAGGCCCCACTCTCCAGTTTATTATTTCAACAACTCCAGTGACTTCCTTTCTGCTGGCTATCTAGGTACCCATTTTTCAAGGCAAACTTTAAAAACGAATCCGGAAACCCTCACTTTTACGTGTATTTACTTACTCATCTGAGATAGCTTACATGTAAAGGCTGGCCTCAACGTCATCTGCAGCACTGGGAGGTCAGCTATGTGCTGCAATGCCTGTACATGCACCTCAGCCTTCTGGTCTCACTTCTCCCAACCCAAACTTGGCTTCTGGGAAGTACCATTTTTTGTGTTTTGTTTGTTTTTTCAAGACAGGGTTTCTCTGTGTAGCTTTGGAGTCTGTCCTTGAACTCACAGAGATCCACCTGCCTCTGCCTCCCAAGTGTTGGGATTAAAGGTGTGTGCCACCACTGGCGGCATAGATCTCATTCTTAAGGGGAAAGAGTATCTCCAGAAGTAATCATAGTTTTCTTAAGCACACACTCAATGCTTTACTTCTGTTTTGTATTTTTAGTAAGGATTGCTGTCTAGCACATAGCAAGACACCCAAACCATCTCTTCCTTAGCCTTAGAGGCCAGGAAAACTTTATTTTAAATTATTTATGTATATGGGTGCACAACATGTGAGCCTAGTTCCTTCAGAGGCCACTGGATCCCCTAAAACTGGATGGAGAACAGTTGTGATCTGCCATATGGGTGCTTGGAATCTAACCAGGATCTTACGGAAGAACAGTCAGTTCTCCTAATAGTTGAACCTCTCCCCAGCCCTACAACAAGGTCTTTTTTGTTTTTCGAGACAGGGTTTCTCTGTATTGGGAGTACCAACTCATACAGCCACTTTGGAAATCAGTATGGAGATTCCTCAGGAAAATGGGAATCAGTCTACCACAAGACCCAGCAACTCCACTCTTAGGCATATACCCAAAAGATGCACATTCATACAACAAGGGCATCTGCTCCACTATGTCCATAGCAGCATTATTTGTTAATAGCCAGAACCTGGAAGCAACCTAGATGCCCCTCAACTGAAGAGTGGATAGAGAAAATGTGGCATTTACACAATGGAGTACTATTCAGCGGGGAAAAAAAACAATGGAATCTTGAAATTTGCAGGCAAATGAGTGGCACTAGAAGAAACCATCTTTACAAAGAGAAACATGGTATGTACTCACTCATTTATGGATTTTAGACATGAATCAGGAGAGTGCCAGCATACAATCCCACTGCCAGAGAGTCTAGGAAACAGAACCTTCATCCAGTGACTGATGAAAGCAGAGGCAGATACCCACAGACAAACACTGAACTGAACTCCTGGAATCCAGTGTCAGAAAGAGACTGAGCTGGTTTAACCCACAGAAACAGTTGACCTGAACAAGGGGGAGCTCTTGGACCCCAGATTGATGGCTGTGTGGAAAGCAAGGGACTGACCCAGACCCCCTGAATGTGGGTGTCAGTGAGGAGGCCTAGGTAATCTATGGGACCTTGGGTAGTATTTATCCCTGGCATACAAACAGACTTTGAGTGCCCATGCCACAATATGGGAGGCTCTCTCAGCCGGGACTCTTGGGGGAGGCCTAGGCCTTGCCTTGGATGAAATGTCAGTTACTGGAGATCCACCATGGAGTACCTCACCCTCCCTGGGGATTGGAGTAGAGATTGGGTGGGGGACTGGGTGACCTGGTGGGGAGGGCAGGGAGGGCGGGGAGGGCAGGGGAGGAGGGGAGGGAGAGGGAGCTGGGATTGACATGTGAAACTAGATTGTTTCTAACCTAAAAAAAAAAAAAAAAAAAAAAAGACAGGATTTTGGGGTGGCTGTGGTGGTGGATGGTATATGCCTTTGATCTCAGCACTGGGAGGCAAAGGTAGGCAAATTTCTGAGTTTGAGGCCAGCCAGGACTACACAGTGAAACCCTGTCTTGAAAATCAAAACAAGACAGAGTTTTGCTACATTTCTCAGGCTGCCCTGGACTTTTTGATTCTGTTGTCTCTCACTCCTGAGTAGCTGGGAGTAAAGGCAAGTGCCCAGCGATGCTTTGCTTTGGTTATATATACAGGACTAAACGTCCCTCTTAGAACATCTTAGTGGCTGGCATACAATTGGAATCTAATATGGGGAGAGAAGACATTAGGATCACAAACTTGAGGATAACAAGGGTTACAACACCCTGTTTACAAACACTGGCCCCTAAATAAAACTAGGAAAAAATATTTTGAAAGGTACCATCAATGTTCTTGTGTTTCTTATTCTCTCAGATTAGGAAACTCAACCACAGCATTAATTTTACATAAATGATCTTAAACTACTTAATTCTGTGTACAACAACCTTTAGAAAAGTAGACTTGTTTCCACGTTTAGATATTTAAATATGTATTTCAGTGAACTTTGCAGTAACTAGCATTGCATTTAATCTTACGGTGCACTCATACAATTCCTGTCTTAGATTAGAAAGTTCCAAGTGTTAGAGAAACCTTTTGTGGAGACAGGGAAGGAGCTGCCTTTCGTTCCACCCGCTGCTGCTGCTGCTTCTTTTTGTAGCACTGGAGACTGAGACTGAACCTAGGGTCTCACAAGATGCTGGGCATCTTTCTAAGTGATAAGCCTCCCTCCCTTCCTATTTTCTCTTTGACATTGCTATACGGATTGTGGGTTGGCCTCCAACCTGCAGAAATCTTCCTGCCTCTGCTTCCTGAATGCTGGGATTACAAGCTTTGTACCACACATCAGACTTACTTATTTTCTGAGGCAAGAGTATTGATAAACTTCCCAGGCTAAACTTGAACACACCATGTAGCCCAGACTGGCCTTGAATTTGTAATCCTGCTGCCTCAGTCTCTTAAGCAGTTGCTATCATAGGTAACACCAGACGCCCTGTTACATGGATTACTTTTAAAACAAAGCCACGCTCATTTTGCCTGTATAAACACACACAGGAATGCCTTTGCAGCCTAACACCCCTGGACGAGAGTTATAGTTGTAGCTGCTGTTGGGTGCTGAGAATTGAACCCATGTTCTCTGGAAGAACAAGCAGTGCTCTTAACTGCTGAGTTTCTCTCCAACCCCCACAGCAACTTCATTTATTTATTTAGGCAAAGTTTCTTTGTTTAGCCGTGGTTGTCCTGGAACTTCTTCTGTATAACAGGCTGTGAGTTCAGAGATCTGCCTGTCTCTGCCTCCCAAGTGCCAGGATTAAAGACATGTGCCACCACATCCAGCTACATGCATGTTTTTTAAATTCTTTTAAAACCCAATATTCATCTTACTTTAAAACATTTTATTACATTTATTTGTGTCTATGTGTACTCAGGGGGGCCAGAAGAGGACACTGAATCCCCAGGAGCTGAAGTTACAGATGTCTAAAGGTATGTAGGGACTGTCTTTAGTCCTTTAGAGGAGGAACAAGTGCTCTTAAGTGCTGAGTCATGTCTCTAGGCCTCTACTTACTTGTGTCAGAGCACAGCTTGCAGAAGTTGGGTATCTCCTCCATCGTGTGGGTGCCAAGGCATTTGGAGGGAAGAGCCTTCACATGTGGTCAGCTCACCAGCCCTTCCTCTTCTCCCACCCTGCCCTCTGTTTATCCCCGAGACCAATGCAACAGTCTCCACTTCACGGCTGCCACAGCCTAATTACGAGTGAAATAAACCCGAGAACCTAAGTAGTGCCCTAACACACAATGTATGCTTTAAAGCTAAGTGCCCAACTGTCCAAGATGGCTCAGCAGTTAAGAGCACACACTGTCCTTGCAGAGGATCTGGGTTTGGTTTCCAGCAGACACATGGCAGCTCACCCCAGTTCTAGGGGTTCCAATGCTTTCTCTGGACCTACATACATGATGTAAACGCATGCAGGCACAACAACCATACACATAAAATTCAAATAAAAATGACAGGCAGGCAGTGGTGGCATATGTCTTTAATCCAGCACTTGGGAGGCAGAGGCAGGAGGATCTCTGTGAGTGTGAGGCCAGCCTGGTCTACAGAGCCAGTTCCAGACAGCCAGGGCTACATAGAGAAACCCTGTCTCAAATAAATACCTCCTAAAACAAACAAAGAAAATACAATGAATTTAATCCTTTTTCCTTCTGTGTAACACAGATCATGTTATCCACTTGTCAAGTTTTTATTTATTTATTTATTTATTACTTATTTTGTTTTTCTGAGACAGGGTTTCTCTGTATTGTTTTGGAGGCTGTCCTGGAACTCACTCTGTAGACCAGGCTGGCCTCGAACTCACAGAGATCCGCCTGCCTCTGCCTCCCGAGTGCTGGGATTAAAGGCGTGCACCACCAACGAGCCGGCCACTTGTCAAGTTTTAGCCCTGCCAAAAGAAACCTGACTTTGCCGTTGTGGCGGTACACACCTTAGCAGGAGTCTAACATGGCTACAAAGGGAAGCTGTGAAAAAACAAAACAACACACACACAAAACATCACACAGTAGGATTTCCAATTTTTCTCTGAAAAATTATTTATTTATGTGTGCACATGCTTGCCACACACACACATGAACATGAGAACATACTGGAGTTGGTTCCCTCCCTCCGCTACGTAGGTCCTGAGAATTGAACTCAGGACAGGCTGTAAAGTTTGAAGGAATGCTCCTCCCATCGAGCACTCCGTGGGTTCCTAATTCCCCTTTAAAGCCTGTTTCACATGGCTGGGGGGATGGCTCGGTGGTTAAGAGCACGTGCTGCTCTTGCAGAGGGCCTGGGTTTAGTTCCAACAGCTACGTGGCAAATGTGTAGCTCCGGTTCCAGGGTCTCACTCCCTCTTCTGGCCTCCTCAGGGACCTGTATGTACACGCTATACTGACACATATGCAGGCAAAACACCCATACACAGAAAATAAAAATAAGTAAACCTGCCGGGCAGTGGTGGTACACGCCTTTAGTCCCAGCACTCAGGAGGCAGAGGCACACGGATCTCTGTGAGTTCAAGGCCAGCCTGGTCTGCTGAGCGAGTTCCAGGACAGCCTCCAAAACAACACAGAGAAACCCTGCCTCGAAAAACTAAAACCAAAACCAACCAACCAAACAAACAAGTGTAACAAGTGTAAAGCTGGGTTTTATTTTTTTTTTTTAAGATTTATTTATTTTTAGCCAGGCAGCAGTGGTGGTGGTGGTGTGTACCTTTAATTCTAGAACTTGGGAGGCAGCGTCAGGCCTTTGAGTTTGAGGCCAGCTTGGTCTATAGAGTGAGTTTCAGGATAGCCAGGGCTACATAGAGAAACCTAATCTTGGAACCAAAAATCAAACAAACAATACATACTATACCTTTATTTTCATGAGTGTGAGTGTTTGCCTTCACAGATGCCTGTGGGCCCAAAGAGGTCAGAAGAGAGCATAGCTCTCCAGGAAGTGGAGACAGTTGGGAATCAAATCTGGACCTCTAGAAGAGCAAGCCTTCTTTACCACTGAGCCAACTCTCCAGTCCCCACCCCCACCCTCCCTTTTGAAGCAGGGCCTCTCTGTATAACAGTCTTGGCTGTCCTGGAACTCTATTTGTAGACCAGGCTGGCCTCAAACTCAGAGATCTGCTGCCTCTGCCTCCTAAGTGCTAGGATTAAAAGGTGTTCACCACCACTGCCTGGCTTCTCCAGCCCCCTTTTAAAGGATTCCTTATGTACAGGGAATAATTTTTACTCATCTAGAAAAATCTGAGTCTGTAGGTTAATGTTGTAAAAATTCACATACATGAAATTTGAAAATACTTAGAAGGTTACAGCGTACTTCTCAGTCTACAATGGAGGTCTTTTGGGAAATATCCAGAGAATAGTTAGTGCAATAACCCAATATTGGCCTCTAGTTCTAGCCTATCCCGAAAGTCAATGAACCACTACAAATTTTCTCAAAAGGGAAACCAGAGCATACTCACTTGAAGTTTTTAAGAGTGAGAGCACAGTTATAACCCTGAAAAAAGAGGTATTAAAAAAGATTTATTTAATTTTTAAGTATATATGTGTCTGTGGGTATGAGAAGTGTGAAATCTCCTGGAACAGGTTGTGACTGTTCCGACATGGGTGCTAGGAACCAAACTCAGGTGTTCTATAAGAGCAACAGACATTCCCCCACTTCCAGACAGGGTTTCTCTGTGAAGCTTTGGAGGCTGTCCTGGAACTCTCTTACAGACCAGGCTGGCCTCAATCTTACAGACATCCACCTGCCTCTGCCTCCCGAATACTGGGATTAAAGGTGTATTGCCTGGTTGCAACAAACATTCTTAACCACTAACTCAGCTTTCCAGGCCCAAGAACAGATACTAATGGGGGGAGGAAACCACCAAATTTGTTAAGGCATCACGTTCTCTTATAAAATACAAATTAATAGCTTGCTTTATAATTTCAGTTTTAACCAGTTAATCTCATGTTCAAGGTCTATCATCATAAAAGGACATCTCTGAAATTAATGAACCATCTCTGGGTAATGCATCACAAAGATAAAGAAGACAATGAACTGTGACAGAATGGATTCACTCATTACCTGCAGCCCAGCTCTCTGTGAGCGGGACACTGCCTTAGCCTTGGCCTTCCCACTGTCTTTCCCAGCTTTGCCTCCAGCCTAGATGAAAACAATTTGGAGTTGAAAATGTTAATGCAGAAAAAAGTCACAAAATTTTTATGTTAGGTAAAAATCTCTAGTAAAAAACTAAGAACTTAAGATATCTAGATGATTTCCTGCCTCACTTTAAATATATATATATATTACCTTTTACTAACACATTAAAACAATCCATCACTAATACTTATTCAAACTTTAAGTTATCTATCAGTCTTACAAATTTCTGATTGATCCTGCCAGTTTCATGCATTTAAGAAACATTTAACTTTTCAAACAAATCATCTAAAACAAGCCAAAGTCTTTCCCTCCCCACCCCCCCTTTTTTTTGAGATAGGGTTTCTCTGTGTAATCCTGCTGGAACTCTCTCTGTAGGCCAGGTTGGCCTCAAACTCATGGAGATCCATTTGCCTTTGCCTCCTGAGAGCTGTGAGTCACCACAGCCCAGCAGTCCTTCCTTTTTTAACCTTTCTGTCAAATATCTGGTCATGGTAATGAGGAAAGTAACAGAGAAATTCAGTGCCAGGAGTGGGGTTGTTGCCATGACTAAACATGACCTGGATGGCTCCTAGGCTTCTGGAGCTAATTTTCAGGAGGAATGTGGAGGTGTTTGGAGATGTGGGCACAGAAACCCTGGAATGCTATAAGCAGAATTCAACCAGCAATCTGGTGGGGCTCAGAAGAATAAGACACATTTAAAAATACACAACAGGGCTGGGGAGATGGCTCAGAGGTTAAAAGCACTGGCTGCTCTTCCAGAGGTCCTGAGTTCAATTCCCAGCAAACACATAGTGGCTCACAACCACATATAATGAGATCTGGTGCCCTCTTCTGGCGTTCAAGAACACATGCAGACAGAACACTGTATACACAATAAATAAATAAATCTTAAAAAAAAAACCCACAACAAAGATGATATAGGGATGCAGATGGAAACAAAGACTATAGGGAAATGGACTAAGGCCATTCATATTGTATTTGTCTATATTTATGTGTGTCCTGAAAGTTGGAGGGAAGCTGACTTAAAGTGTCACATTAGTGAATTTAGGGGTTTCAAGGCTGCGGAGCACCCAAGCTTTGGCATTGCTGTGCTAGCTGCTGTGAGCAAAGGCCAAGACCAAGAAGCTCAGCTTTTAAAGAAACATTCCAGCCAGGCGGTGGTGGCGCACGCCTTTAACCCCAGCACTCGGGAGGCAGAGGCAGGCGGAGCTCTGTGAGTTTGAGGCCAGCCTGGGTTACAGAGCGAGTTCCAGGACAGCCAGGGCTACACAGAGCATCCCTGTCTTAAAAAACAAAAACAAAAAAGCCCAAGAGACCAAAACAAATAAACAAAAAAGGAACAAAAGCAAACCTTACAAAAACAAACTGCTACTTAACCTAATCTCCCAAACCATATATAATTAATTCTTTCAACTTTAAATTTAAAATAGTTGATGACTGAGAAAGAGAAAATATATAAAAACTGGGCTCAGCAGGTAAGGGTAGCTGGCACTAACCTTACCATCTCTGCTTGACCTGAGCCTTACTGGTGGAAGGAAAGAACAGGTCCTCTGACCCCCATGAGCACCCTTACATACACAATGAACATACTTTAAAAATTTCTTATCCCCAAAATTGTGTGTTAGACTTCGACAAGTGTCTCAGTTTAAAAAGTTTATTCATGGGCGCCGGGCAGTGGTGGCACTCCTTTAATCCCAGCACTCGGGAGGCAGAGGCAGACAGATCTCTGTGAGTTTGATGCTGGCCTGGTCTACAAAGCTACGCAGAGAAACCTTATCTCAGCCCCCCCCCCCCAAAAAAGTTATTCATGGGAAAGGAGCACACTGAAACATATTTCACTCCTGAAAAACTTGAAAACTGGATACTATGCTATTACTCTAATATTCAAATTTTTATTTCTTGTCAATTTAAAAAAGTCTTTACCAAGGACAACCAATGCCTCCAGTACTTATTAATCTTAAGTTAATGCTTATGTTCTTTTGGGTGAATATTGAAAACCTATCATTAGAACTTGAGAAAGAAAAAAAATAACCATGAAAATCAACTACTTGAGCAAATTAATTTTTACAAACAAGTAACCCATGCTGCTTGTCAGAGTAATTTCCTACAATCAGCATATAACAATGCCAGCTGACAGAACTTCTCTAGTTCCAAGTTTGAGAATGTGACAGTCCAAACTTGGCTACTTTCCATTTGGCCAATCTGTTTACAGTCATCTACTAAATACCTGACATATCCACATGACAATGGCATTATTTGCTGGATGAGAAATGATAGTCTGGGGTTGACTTTAAGTTTTAAGGAAACAGCACCCGTTGAAGGGACCTGTCCTGTGAAGATGTAGCTAAAACTCGGACACAAACAAACAAAATTTATCTAAAGGAGCACGGCCTCCAAAACACCCAAAGGTAAGTAGTATGCTAACCAGGCCTACTAAGGATAAGGGAAATTTGGGATGCTAGTATACAGTAGTTTATTCACCAGGATTGACCCAGCTAATTAGGCTCCATTCCCATGGCAAAGGAGACAGCACGGATTTATGACCGGCAGTTAGGCTCAGATTCCCACACCCAGGGACAGATCTGACTGGCAGCGCAAGCAGGCAGGCAGCACCGGGTCACAGCCATCATTAAGTCCTACTCTGTCAGGAAAAACATAATTCTGTCAGGTGGGCAGGATGACCCCGGTAACAACTATTCGGAAGAGAACAATACTGGTATACTTACAATAATGCTGGCAATATGTATTATTTTTGCTGTGTAAATCTCCTATCTGCCTAAGTGGCCAGACTTGCAATCTCCAGTCTCTGTTTTAATTGCTCGAAGTGTAACCTGGGACCCGAAAAGAGATTTTCAGGATGACAGTGTCTGAGGAACGCATATGCCTAAAATGTACATAAATTAGTAAGAGCTTCTGCTGAAGGCCGGCTCTTGCTTGGGTGTTAGCTAGCCGGACAAGGGTTATTAAAGAGCCGTTCCTTAATTAATCTAAGTGTGTGGAGAGATTCCTTACTGGGAAGGCATATCATTTCTGTAGCAGTGAAAGGATACTTAAGACAGGAATGCCGACATAAATACAATTCCGAAATGAGAGCGTCATCCCCTTTAACAATCTTGACGCAAAGAATAGGTCTCTGTTGCTTTAGCTCTTTCTCCTTCTTCTGAATTTTAAATGGGGCTAAAGTTTTACTCACTTCTGTTTTTTAAAATCTGCTTTCAACTAGATCTGAACTGCAAAATGAAAAGATACTGTTAAGCCAACTAGATCTGAATTGCAGAATGAAAAGATACTTTAAGCCACGTAAATAAACTGTTACAAAGAAGTCGGGGAATAACCCGGAGACTGCCTCAAGCCGGTGCAAAGCGCGAGCCGACCGAGCCGCACAGGGCAGGACCGGGGCGATGCCCGGTGGGGCATTACGTAAGGCAGCGCGGAGGCAGCAGGACCTCCTCCGCCGCCGCAGAGCCCGCCCCTGCCTCTGCCTCCTGCGTCGGGCGCGGCCCCCTGGCGGAGTCCGGCCCCCGCGGGCGCTCCCGCTCGGCCGCGCGACACCGCCCACTCCCGGCTCCACAGGTGGAGGCGCCGCCCGGGGCTTCCGAGCGCCGACTCCCCGAGCGACCCCGCACTCACCATGGTTTCGGCCGCGCGCCGCCCGCTGCCGCCCCGCGCCGCCGCTGTCCCGGCTCTCGCAGCCCGACCACCGCTGCCGGAGCCGGACAATGCCCCGGGCCCGCCTCGCAACGCTGCCACCAATAGCCGCTCGCGTTGTTCATTTGAACCTCGGCGGCTGGCCAATTGGACGCCTCCTTCTAGCCAGGACTCCGCCCTCTCGGCACCGCCTCCCTAACGGCTGTTTGCTTTTGCACACGGCACTGGGAGGCGGGTCCTCCAACCCCAACACTGACGCGCTCTCCGCCTCTCTCCGGGCGCGGAGTCTGATGAACAGAAGCGCCAACCAATGAGAGAGGAGGAAAGCCAACGACAACACGGCCGGCAGCGCGGGAGGCGGGAGTCCGGGAACGATCCGGCGCAGCTGTGCCTTTCCCGCCCATTCAGAGTCCGCTAATCCGCCTTAGTTTGCTTTGTTTTTCGTCTACTGTTTGGAGGGGGCTAAAGTGCGGAACTTGTTGTGAAAATTTAGGAACACGTGTGAGTCGCACTCAGCATGTAGTAAAATTCTCTCGCTATCGTCGACCGTCCAAACTACTTTAAAACGCCTCATTACTATTACTATCATCATCATCATTATTGAACCTGGGCTATTTGGAAGAGGAGAACGTAATCTTCTGTATGAAACCCATCAGAATTCTTTATTTGTTTGTTCTTTTTGGTTTTTTGAGACAGGGTTTCTCTGTATTGCTTTGGAACCTGTCCTGGAACTCACTCTGTAGACCAGGCTGGCCTCGAACTCACAGAGATCCACCTGCCTCTGCCTCCTGAGTGTTGGGATTAAAGGCGTGCGCCACCAACGCCCGGCTGCCCATCAGAATTCTTAAGACTTCGTTCTGGTTCCAGCTTCAAACGCTTTATTCTTTTCGCGGTAGGAAGCACAGACTCGTTCTAGGAGTTCATTGCGCACAGACTCGTTCTAGGAGTTCACTGCGCACAGACTCGTTCTAGGAGTTCACTGCGAGCAAAATAATTCTCTACTCTTTCTGTTTTGATACTTAGTTCTTGTGGTTGGGTTTTCCCAAGCCAGTGTTTTTAGAAATTGACCTCCAGGTAGATGATCTCTGTCCCAAACTTTGAATTATGTTATTCCAGAAGAAGCAACCTGGGAGAAGTTGGCCTTCCCGGAAAAAAAGTCTCTTGAATTCTAGATGAGGAAGGGACGATCTTCTAAGTGACTTTGGGAAGTGTGAGGAGGAGGGGTCAATGAAATAGAAATGAATGGAACAATGCGCTCAGAAAACAGAACTGGACTCGACTTCTGAGTTAGTTCACTGGACAGCACTCTGTTAATCCCTACTCCTTTGTGTTTCAGAACATATCCAGTGACAATGCTGGTCTGCCAGGGAACGGCATTGTAGTGTGCCAAGACAAGCCAGTTACTGCCTTCCTACAAAGACAGAACCCAAATCTCGAGCACATTATTGAAGGCCCGACCTTTTCTGGCCCTGCTCACCTGCCTTCCACCGCTTCTACCGCCACCCTAAACTCCATCTTGCTTTTGGCTTTTCTCAGAACAATTTCTGTCTTGCCTCCTTTAAGATTAAACACAACCAGACTTGGTGGGACAAACCTGTAATCCCAGTACTCAGTAGGCAGGCTGAGGTAAATATCACAAATTCAAGGCCAGCATGGGCTACATACGGAGACCCTGACTCCAGGAAAAAGGAAGGGAAAGTGTCCGCGCAGACATTGCCCAGACCTCCCTCCGGTGACGCCCTAATTTGAGAGGAGTGCCCTTCTGTACGGCCCTAGCACACATTAGACGTTGCAAGGGTCTTCCTCAGTGCATAGAATTTCTTTTCAGGTCATCTTTTGCCTAGTATTCTAGGAATGTTAGTTAACAAATGAAATAAAAAATGACACTTAAATCACTAAGACTGTACCATCTATGGAAAGACCTCACTGGATCTTATCAGTCATGTGATTTATGTAGAGTCTTTCACATCAACAAGCCTATTTTTGGGGCTACTAAATTTGAAGATAGCACTACCTGTTTTAAAGGATCGTGGGTATGTGTGGGAGAATGGGTCCACATGTAGGAAAGCCTGTGCACATGTGGGGAGATGAGCGGAGGATGTCAGGTGTCCTGCTCTGTCTCACTCCACTGTATCCCCTTCGGTCTCTCACTGAACCTGAAGTTGGCCATTGTGGCTAGCCGGCAAGCGCTCACGACCATCTATCTCTTGACCCAGTTCTGGGGTTACAGGCATATGTGGTCAGTGTCACATCTTTTGACCTCATCACTGAAATCCTTGGCCCTAAACTCTTGCCTCCCTAGACTCTTCAGTTTCTGTTCAGTCCCTCCCGGCAGCTTTTACCCTTCTGACTCCCTTCATTCTTCCCTGTCCTTCCTGCCATGGCCTCTCTCGATCTGGCAGCCTTGTTCCCTTCAAAGTTATTTAGATGTTTAAGTTAGCCTCTCCCTGCTAAACTGCTCTACCCCCTCCCTGTTTCTCTCTCCTCTTTCCTTTGAGATAAGGTCTTTCAGGATACAGCTAAGGCTGACCAGGAACTGAAGGTGTAGCCCAAGTTGACCTCAAAGTTATAAAAGTCATACAAAAGAATGGGTGAAAAAGTAGTAAGATAACATCAAAATCCTCACTTTTTTGCAGCTACTGTTGAGGAAATCTTAAGATTCATACACAAATGCAAGAGACTTAAAATAACGAAATTGAAAAAGAACCAAATTGGAGGACATACCCTTCTTAATTCCAAAACAGACTACAAAGCTATAGTAATCAAAATGGGAGTATGTCCAAAAGAGCTATAAACTAATGGGCCAGAGTCTGGAAATGAACCCGCGCATTCATGGTAGGTTGACCATTTAACGAGAGCACGGATACAACTCAACAGGGAATCTTCAACAGATGACGCCTGAACCTCTAAACAAAATGTGCTGTCTCCTTCCTTCCTTCCCAGAATCCTACACAAGGGTCCACAGCTATCTGTAACTCCAGTTCCTGGGACTCTGACACCCTCTTCCAGTCTCTACAGACACTGCATGTGCATGGTGCACACACATACGTGCAGGCAAAACACTTATACACATAAAATAAAATAATTTTAAGTGAGAAAAACACAAAATCAATATAAAAGAATAGGCAGCCAAACTCCTCAATAATTTGTTTATTCATGAGTTGCAGGTTAACTCTTAAGGACAATAGGATAAATTTTTGGCATATCTGTGTTGTGGACCATTAAGCAACTTATAAAAAATGAATACACAGGGCTGAGTGTTGATGGCATAGCCTTTAATCCCAGCACTCGGGAGGCAGAGGCAGGCGGGTCTCTGTGAGTTCGAGGCCAGTCTGGTCTGCAGAGCGAGTTCTAGGACAGGCTCCAAAACAATAAAGAGAAACCCTGTCTCAAAAAACAAACAAAAAATGGCAATCTTTCCAAAAGCAATCTACAGATACAATGCAATCCCCATTTAAATCACAACACAATTCCTCACAGACCTTGAAAGAACAATACTCAACTTCATATGGAAAAAACAAAAAACCCAGGAAAGACAGCTAAAACAACCCTGTACAATAAAGGAACTTCCAGAGGCCTCACTATCCCTGACCTCAAGCTCTATTATAAAGCCATAGCCATAAAAAAAAACAAAACAAAACTTGGTTTTGGATTGGCATAAAAACAGACAGGTGGACCAATGGAATTCAACTAAAGACCCTGACATTTTTCACACACCTATGAAAACCCGAGTTTTAACAAAGAAGCTAAAACTGTAAAATGGAAAAAGATAGGATCTTCAGCAAATGGTGCTGGCATAACTGGATGTCGATTCCCATGTACAAAACTCAAGTTCAAGTGAATCCAAGACCACAACATAAATCCAACCACACTGAATCTCATAGAAGAGAAAGTGGGAGGTAGCCTTGAACGCACTGGCAAAGGAGGACTACCTCCAAAATATAACACCAGCAGCTCAGCCACTGAGAGCAACAATCAATAAATGGAACCTCATGAAACTTAAAAGCTTCTGTAAAGCAAAGGGCATGGTGAATAAGGCAAAACGACAGCCCACAGATTGGGAAAATATCTTTACCAATCCCACATCTGACAGAGAGCTGATCTCCAAAATATATAAAGAACTCAAGAAACTAGATATCAAAATACCAACTAATCCAATTTAAAAATGGGGTACAGATCTAAACGGAATTCTCTGCAGAAAATCTCAAATGGTCAAAAGGCATTTGAGGAATTACTCAACATCATTAGTCATCAGGAAATGCAAATGAAAACAACTCTGAGATACCATCTTATACCACTCAGAATGGCAAAGATCAAAAACACCGATGGCAGCCTATGCTGGAGAGGATGTGGAGTAAGGGGAACATTCCTCCATTGCTGGTAGGAGTGCAAGCTTGTACAGCCACTTTGGAAATCAGTATGATAGTTTCTTAGACCCAGAATTATCACTCTTGGGCATATACCCAAAGGATGCACACTCACACCACAAGGACATTTGCTTAATTATGTTCATAGCAGCATTATTTGTAATAGCCAGAACTTGGAAACAACCTAGATGTCTCTCACCTGAAGAATGGATAGAGAAAATGTGGTACACAATGGAGTATTATTCAACTGTGAACAACAATGACATTGAAATTTGCAGGCAAATGGATGGAACTAGAAAAAAATCATTCTGAGTAAGGTAACCCAGACCCAGAAAGAGAAACACAATATATATTCATTGATAAGTAGATACTAGATGTAAGGGACAACCAGACCACAATACCACACTCCACAGCTCCAGAGGAGCTAAGTAACAAGGAAGACCCTAAGAGAGACACATGGGTCACCCTGGGAAGGGGAAATAGATGAGATCTCCTGGATAAACGGGGGGGGGAGGTGATAAAGGGGGGGATGTGTTGTTCTTTGCTGCAGTTTTGGGCAATGAAACACAAACCACCAAACTAAACAAACCCACATGGAATTCACTGGGAAAGGGAGGGAAGGGAGGGGTAGGTGCTAACTGATCCGGAGCAGAATGGAAACAGAAAGGAACAGTGGGAAGCCCTTGCTTAAAGGGAAAGGGGGTGGGTTAGAACAAGGCTTAGCAGTTGGGGCCCGTTGAA